AAAAAAAAAAAAAGAAAAGAAAAAGAAAAAAAAAAAAGGAAGGTTCTCAATTTGCAAGCCTAAGTCAATGCCCAGACTCTGCATAGGCAGAGGAGAAAACTGACTCCATAGTGTGGTCCTCTGAGCACCAGACATGAGCCATGGCACATGCAATGTCCCCCCCCATCCCTCACCCCACAAAAGTGATAAATTATTTTTTTAAAAAAAAGTTCTCCCGGGCTGGAGAGATGAGTGGTTAAGACAGTGGCTGTTCTTCCTGTGATTCCCAGCACCTACATGGGGGCTCCCAAGGCTTTGACTCCTGCTCCAGGGGATCTGATGCCCTCTAGTGGCCATGGTGAGTACTTTGAGCACCTGCTATACAATTAGGCAAACACACTTACACATAAAATAAAAAATTTAAAACTTAAAAAAGGTATTCCTCCCTTCAAACCTCTCGCTTTAAAGAGTTTTTTTTCCCTTCACTTTTCTTTAGTAAGTCTGTATCTGTTCTGCTTTGTAAAACAGGCAAGTCATCTTGGCCTTCCAAGACCTAGAGAGTCTCGCTCGCTCGCATACTCAGGAGTTTAGATAGACTCACCATGTGAGTCAAAGCCAGCCTGGGTTACCTGGGTTACACAGTGAATTCCAGGCAGATCTAATACACAGTTTCTCCCTCTGGAGTCCTTGGACAGGAGGAAGCCTGGGGAAGGTCACAGGCACAGATGTGAACTCTCCCTTAGGAACATGGTACTCTCCCCTCTGGAGAGGCTGTTGCACCCTGCAGGTCCTAGAGTGACGTGGGAGGCCAGGCTTCCAAACACAAAAGCCAAAGACACAAACCCAGCCACACCGAGACAGCAGCCCCTCCGGGATGTAAGGAGTGGAGGCTGTGGAGCAGCAAGGACACTGCTCCGAGTAGCTCACTTGTCAGTGCTGTATTCCCAGCATCCTCTCAGAGTCCCACACTCAACAGACAACTAGTGGGGCTGAAAACAGGATTGGAGGAAAAATACTTAGCAACAACAGAAATAAGGAGCAAAAAAAAAAAAAAGTTTTTTATATATCAGGGTAGTGGGACGGAGCTGACTTTAGTAAAGGCTTGCATGAGGCCCGCACACACACAAAAGTAGATAAATAATATATGTATTTAAAAAAAAAGTATACCAGGATAAAGGGGATAATCTGTATGATTTAACATAAAAATTACATGAAGATAAAATAAGTAAATTGGGCCAGTGGTGGCCCACACACCTTTAATCCCAATACTAGGGAAGCAGAAACAAGTGGATCTCAGTGAGTTCCAAGACAGCCAGAGCTACACAGAGAAACCCTGTCTCAAAAACTAACAAACAATCAAAACAGGAAAAAGACTAACGTGCTCACAAGTAGAGAAGACAGGAGGCTGGAGACATGGCTCAATAAGTAAGAGCACTGGCTACTCCAGAGGACCTGGATCAGAGTCCCAGCACCCACATGATGGCTCACGACTGTCTGTAGCTCTAGTCCTAAGCGTTCTGATGTCCTCTTCTGGTCTCTGCAGGCAGCAGCTGTGCAGGTAGCACACATACATAGCTCAGATAACCAAAGTTTTCTCAAAAAACGAAATGAGGGGCCCCATGTGGAAAGTGAGCAGGCAAGCTTGGCGCAGGGCACAGCTGAGAGCAGCCATGAAGGATGACGGCTCAGAGCATGTCAGACACTTCAACCGACATTTGTATAAATTCCCTCACTGGCCAGCACTGCATGTGTTTTAAGAGTTATGAACACACCCGTAAGATCTCGATTACTACAGTGACAAGAAACAAGAGAAGGCGGAAGAGCAAAAGACACTGAGGAGGGAAGGTGAGAGTACACTGCACACGCCTGAGGGCCGGGCTGCAATGGAGGTGCGGCTCCAACTGCCAGGCTGAGACGAGGATAAGTGAGCCAGCAAGCCTCCGGGAGTGAGGACGAGTGAAAGAAAGGGATCCCCCGTGCACCCTCAGGCCTAGGATGCACAAGAGAGCCGAGCACAGTGCACGGAACAAGAGCCCCTCGTCCAGTGCTGTGTGGATGAGCTGAGTCCCAAGACCAGTGAAGAACAGAATGGCTGCAAACCACGAGCAAGCAGAGACACCGGGAAGAGAGCAAGACAAGCCGACACGGGGAGGGCTGGCAAACTGTAACCAGCGTGGTAATTACTCATTCATATTCAGAGCACCCTGACAGCAGTGAGACAGTGCTGGCTGCACTAAGACAGACAGGATGGGGATGGTGATGAGCAGCGCCACTTACCTACGGGCAGGTGGGACAGATATGTTCCGAAGCAGCTCCTTTTGCCTCACCTCCAATTTTCTCCTCTATGCATTTTTCCATAGTCAAAAACGCACCAGGCTGCTGGGGCTGCAGCTGTAGACTATGTCTATACAAGAGGCCTTGGGTACTATCAACACCAACAAAACACCAAAACCAAAACAACAACAAAAACAAAACCATACTGCAACTGAGGCAGAGAGATGGCACAGCAACTAAGACGGCTTACTGAACTTGCTAAGGACTTGAGTTCAGTTACCAGCACCCACACTGGGTCACCCACAGCTACCTGATTCTCCAGCTCCACTGGATGTGTCTGACACCCTCTCCCAGCCTTGAGGGCACCTATATGCTAGTGTGGATAGAGACACACACAAACAAAATTACAATCACTTTTTTTAAGACAGGTAAGACACATAGTTCAGGCTGACCTAAACTTGATATATAGACCAGTATGACCTGAAACTCGGGAGATCTTCTTGTGTCTGCCTTTAGATTAAAGGTGTATACTATTATGCTGGCAAAATGAGTCCTTAAAAGAAAATTACTGGTAGTTGAGAAATGACTGGCTCAGTGGTTTAAGGGCACTTGATGTTCTTGCAGAGGACCATGGGTAAATTCCCAGCACCTGAACAGTGACACACTACTACCTGTAACTCCATTCCCAGGGGATCCAACAACCTCTCTGGCCTCCACATGCACAAGGCATGCACATGGTGGACAGACATACATGCAGACAGAACACCTACACACTAAAATTAAAATTAAGAAAAAAATTACTGTTAGCGATAGAAAACAGCAGGATCACTTTATATGAGAGCAAGGGCTAGCTGGGGCTGGAGAGATGGCTCAGCGGTTAAGAGCACTGGCTGCTCTTCCAGAGGTCCAGGGTTCAATTCTCAGCAATCACACAGCAGCTCACAACCATCTGTAACTCCAGGAAACAACATCCTTACCCAGACATATATGCAGATAAAACACCAGTGCACTTTAGAAAACTAATAATAAAACATTTTTTAAAAAGAAGAAAAACAAAGGCTGGTAAGATGCCTTGAAGGTAAAAGTCACTACCTCCAAGCCTGATGACCTGCGTTGGATCCCTGGGAACCTTACAGCAGAGAGAGAGAAGTAAGTGTTCTTTTGATTTCCACACAAGCCCCAGGCACGCATGCTCACATACTCCCACAGTAAATAAGTAATAAGATACATGTTTAGAAAAGAGCACAGATGGGTTTAGTCTGTCAATCCTAGCACTGGGAAGTGGAGGCTGAAGGGTTAGGATATCATCCTCGGCTATACAATGAGCCAGAGGCTAGCCCAGGATATTATAAGACCCCTTCTCAAAACAAAAACAAAGGCGGGGGTAGCACACACCTTTAATCCCAGAACTCAAAGAGGCAGAGGCAGGCCTGGTCTACAGAGAGAGTTCCAGGCCAGAGTTTCACAGAGAAACCCTGTCTCGAAAAACCAAAATAATGAAATGAATTAAAATAAATTAATTAGCCAGGCGGTGGTGGTGGCGCACGCCTTTAATCCCAGCACTTGGGAGGCAGAGGCAGGCGGATTTCTGAGTTCGAGGCCAGCCTGGTCTATAGAGTGAGTTCCAGGACAGCCAGGGCTACACAGAGAAACCCTGTCTCGAAAACCAAAAAAACAAAAATATTTAAAACACAATGCAAAGAAGTTTAGACTGTAGCATAGCACTGTGAGGAGAAAGTCTTCCACACAAAGAACAGAAAGGGGAACTGATGCCTGACGGTCAGCCTTCCTTGGTAAGACAACAACATCCATGGAAAACTATGAAGCAGTCCTAAGGCCAGAGACGCCTCCGTGGGTAAAAGTACTATCTTGACAGCCTGATGATCTGAGGTTGATTCCCGTGACCCATGTAAAAGTGAACTGAGGGAACTCACTTCTGAAAGTTGTCCTCTGACCTCTATGTTCATGTGTGGCACGCATGCACCTACACATACTTACATGTAAATAAAACAAAAACGTCCAGAAGCAGTGGTAAACTCCTGTAATCCCAGTGCTCAGACACACTGGTATGAGGATCCCTTGGAGTTCAAAGCCAGCCTGGTTTGTATATCCAGCTCCAGGCTAGCCAGGGCTCACAGGCTAGCCAGGGCTACACAGTGAAAAACTCTCTCTAGTTTAAAAACTTTTTAAAAGAGGCAATTCTAGGCCTAGACGTTAAGGCAGGGGGAATGTATTTCTACTTGCTGAGCCTTAACTGCTGCGCTTGGAGGATGAGGGCAGCCGAGGCGCCACAGCCAACTGGTGTCTCAGAACCAAAGCAGAACAAAATGAAAAACCCCAAAAGCATCTCCACTCACTTATCACTATTGGCAATCTTGCGGAACTCTCGGACAGTCATGGCTTTCTTCTGTATGTTGTACTGAGTGAAGAGGCCAGACTGACCCGTCACCAGCTGCTGGATGGGCGCGGGAATGACCAGGTCATCGATATCATCGTAAGATGTTCGAGGTCTCCACTCTTTGGGAGGAACGACCTGTGGGGCACAGATGGAGGCAGATGAGAAACTACCAAGCCTGAATCCTGCAAGTGTGTAAGCCACCATCCAGACAAGTCGTCCATTTTACCAGAAAGTAACTCTGATTTACTCACGTTTCCCCCAAACCCAGGAAGTCACACTGTCAAGAGACCACGGACTGGGTGACCTGAGCAAAACAGTACTTGTAAGCCCAGGTGCGTTATCAGATTTAAGAGTTGGCTCGTGAACAGCCTAAGGTTCTTTCACAGACAAAGCAATGGAAGCAGATGTGCTGGCCGACACCCATCATGCTCAAAACTAACCTAGGCTACCAGAAAACTGAGAAAACAGTAAGTATCGTGACTTTTATGAAAGAAAATAATGAGTATGCATCATAAAAATCCAAACAGCTTTTATATAAAATCTAGTAAGTGTATCAATTTATACCCCTACCATGCGTTGAAAAGCTGCACTGTGGGCCCTGCAGGGTCTACTATCTGAATGAGCCATTTCCGTTTGAATGGAGACAGCTGACGGGAGCCTCAGAGAAGACACCAAGGTGAAGACTGGTCCTCAGCTTTGGAACTGAAGTCCTTGGGTTTTGTGTATATATTTTTTTTCTTTTCTTTTTCTATATCCAAAGAGTAAGGGCTAGGAAAACAGCTCAGAGTTGGGCGTGGTGGTACACACCTTTAATCCTAGCACTGGGTGGCAGAGGCAGGTGGATCTCTAAGTATGAGGTCATCCTGGTCTACAGAGCAAGTTCCAGGACAGCCAGAGCTACAAAGAGAAACCCTGTCTAAAAAATAAAACAACCTCAGAGGCATAGTGTTAGATCTGAACCTTCAGTCCCATAAAAAACAAAAACCAAAAGTGAACACGCACACATATAGCAGGGAGATCAAACCTGAAACGGAACATCCCCCCTTGGCTCAGATGTAGTCTTTGGCATCAATTTGAAAGGGTTTGTTTGGAAATGCAATTGTTTTACTGTGGGGGACTCAGAAAACCTTGAGAGTGACTGAACATAGGAAGGGCTGATTTGACTAGGGGTGGGGAGGATGGCCCTACTTCAGTGCATAGGGAGAAAAGAAACCAATTTCAAACTACAGAAACCAGAATCCTCATGTGGTCTGGCCAGTGCTTCTCTCCCTTGAAGAAAGTCCCTGCGGGAAACCGAATTCTATGGCGGGGGGGGGGGGGGGGGCCGAAAAGAGAGAGGCAGGTAAAAGCTGTAAAACATCGAGCCGCAGGCCAGGCCTGGAGACACTGGTTCTGTATTTCCCTTTCCTGTTCCACCTGCATACCCTCATCTTAGCAAGGATCAGTTATACCCTGACTCTCAGGACAACTCAATTTTTTCTGGTGTTCACTTAGGAAAAAAAAAATATCACTACTGTCCATTTTATCTTTAGGGATTTGGGAAACATGACTGTCACAGGCTGCATGAAAGGATGACTGACTGGAAGGAGAGGAACAACAGCAATTCCATGCAAAGAAGTACAAACCCGCAACTAATTTCCAATTACAAACACCAGAAATAGTCACATGACGGCTGCCTGAGCAGGTTCACAACCCTGCTCCCTACCTTGGCTAGCCCAGCCCGATGGGCTCCTTGAGATTCAATGTAGGCGATGTATCGGCTGAAGTTCCGGAACTCTTCCATGGTGGGGTAAAAGGTCATGATCCGAGCGCTGGGGTTCAAAGTTTCTGATTCAGAAGCCATTTTTTTCTTCTTTGTTTGAAGCTGATTTGCTTGGATAAAAACCTGAAGTATTAAGAGAACAAAAGTAAATGACCAGGAGCTGCCTCTAGGATGCTTATTTAAATGGACTAGAAGCCCTTCCGTTCAAAAGGAACCCGAGGAACCAAGGAGACCAGAGGCCCAGAAGCCCAGCACTGGGAGACAGAAGGCAGGATCTAGAGTTAGGGAGCCAGGGGCAATAACAAGTATACCCGGTCAAGGGGGGAAAATGTGGTGGTGTACACTCCTTTAATCCAAGTACTCAGGAGGCAGAGACAGGCCAGCCTGGTTTACAGAGTTCTTGGGACAGCAAGAGCTACACAGAGAAACCATGTCTCAGAAAACCAAACCAAACAAACATAAACCTGAGGTGCCAAAACTGCCTATATCCAGACCTCATTCCACCTCACTTGATAAGACATTGTTTTAGGAGAAAAAAAAAAAAAGTCCCAAGCAAACAAAGCTATTATCATTTAGTTATTGGATCTATATAAAAATACAGCTGACCGCCAGGTGGTGGTGGCGCACGCCTTTAATCCCAGCACTTGGGAGGCAGAGACAGGTGGATTTCTGAGTTAGAGGCCAGCCTGGTCTACAGAGTGAATTCCAGGACAGCCAGGGCTACACAGAGAAACCCTGTCTCGAAAAACCAAAAAAAAAAAAAAAAACACTATAAGTTGATCTGCAGAGCTTCCTATGGGCTCCTCTCTAGAACAGAGCTTTACGAGATTCTAAACCCCTGAGAAGTAATTTAGCTGCGGATTATAAGGCATCAGGGGTTTCAGGTTTTAAAAGTACTTTGATATTAACAGGATGCTAGGTGTTTGAAACACTACAGTGACATTGTTCTATCTAAATCAAAACGGTATTAGCAGTACTCAGTTGGCTCAACTGCACTGAAACCAGGCAATGAGTTGGCAATACAGGGCAAACTTCCTAACTGCAGAGAGAAAATACATAGATGTTTTTGGATGAAGTCCTCAAGTAAGTGGGCAGACCCTAAGCCCAGTGTTGGTAATACTACAGATCACCACAACTAGAAAAAGACGATGCATGCAAAAAAAAAAGGCCAGTTTAGAAGCAGAACCAGTATGTCCTTTACTGGACCTCCTCACTCACAGTCCAAGAGTTCTGTTTCCTCAAAGCCACTGGCATTCCTACTTACTACATGGGAGGAAACTCTGTACCACCTTCCCACAACCTAGCATGGGATTTGGGAAGCAGCATGGAGTAAAACCATTCAAGATAGCAGAATAGAAACCCTGTCATCTTAACTCTTGGGCTTCCATTACACTCAAAGTGAGGTATTTTTGACTAGGCATTTTTCATTAACTTTGCATAAACAGGTATACTGTTATCCCTGCTTTACATACCAGGAAATGAATCCAGTCCCCTCCCTAAAGCATCTTCCACCACTTTCTGCTACCTCAGCCCTAATACTTACCTGAACTAAGACCTCTGCAAGAGAATATTCAAATGTGGTGGAACTTGAAGCCTATTCAATTTAGGAGACTTTTCTCTCTAAAGAGAAATTTCCAATATATCCTACTTTTGAAATTTTTACAAAAATATAACATAACTATCGGACTGGGGCTCCTCCCCTGGGCTTCAAAGGGGGTCATGATGTTGCTTCATCTGCCTCTGGCGGTATTTATCTTTGTGTCCAGAACCCAGAACAATGCACGTCACAAAGTAGGCACTCGGTAACTGCTGAATAACTCATTTCCTCTGCTCACTTTAGTGGGTCATCCCATTACTTTAACCCTAGGGTTCCGTTCCTGCGATATATTCCCTAGAGGAAATCTGGTCTGGGGCACCTTCCCATCCGCATTCAGCAACAAAGCAAAGAGTACGGGAATCTAAACCTTCGGCTCTAGAGTGAAAACTCTGACTACTGGTCTGATCTCTTCCACTTTTTAACACCTTGGCTGTGTGAGTGGACTGGATGAGTCTCAGTTTCTCCACCTGCAAAATGGGGATCCCAAACCCCTGCCTTGCTGGATCGTATGATTAACTCAGATGATGCAAGCGAAACCTAAACGCTAGGCCCGGTAAGCACCCCATAAAGGCAGCTGTTGCTAACAGTGGCCTGAAACTCCCGCACTCTCGGCCCCCGCAGCCACCCCCGCGGCATCCCTCCAAAGGCAGCCCGGTGCCCAATGTCCCCGCACCACACCACTTACACACACTGCCCCTCCCGGCCCCACCGCCTAGGCGAGGGAGGCCCGGCCGGAGGAAGAAGAAAATAAGGCCCAGTGGTTCCGCCCCCCTCTCCCGACGCACATTGGCCACTGGAGATTGGAAAGAACCAATCGCAAAACTCATCTTAGAAGCTCCTTTTTCTATTGCTCTAACTACATGTCGATCACGGAGCACAGAAAGACCCACCTCACCACCCTCCCCCACCAGAGCTCACGGCCAGGGTTTTGGCAGCATCAAACCCTCTGAGATCCAAAGCCCGATGGCTCTCACCTGGAGCCTAAAGCCCTAGCAGGGCTCAGGCTCGATTCCTGCTGCCGCCACTCGCCGATCCCACTGTCTTTCTTGAGGGCGAAAGACAAAGCTCCGCCTCCTTTAAAGTCGGACTCTGCGCAGCCTCACAGAGCCCATAGTCAACCAACCCAAGGATGGCTTTAAATCCTCAGCTAACCAATGAACGCTCACTACAGCTGCTCGATGTCTGGGACTATGAGTCTGTTTAGCCTATGAGCGTCGTCTCAAGCTGTTGCCAGGAGAAAACGCTGAACCTCTCGGGACTGGGGCCACTGAGCATCAGGGCTGGATCCAGAGTTAGCCTATCAGAAGCTGACTCAGATCTCCATAGCTAAGCTGGATAGAAACAAACGAGTACCCTGAAATGGGCTGGCCGGCTATGGGGAACGGCGAGCAGGTGGTTATAGGATGATTCTAGCGAAAGGATGAGCCTAAGTTTTCTTGGAATAACTCCTTTGCCTAAGATATAAAGGCGATGGTGGACCTCCGGGAAAGTTTCAAAAGTCAAGGAGTTCAGAGAACGTAATCAGCATGTTCGGGTTTGCCCAGGACTCTCGGTTCTCAAAGTCTTGCGTTCTAAAAAGCCCCTCGCCTTCAAGGCACAGTAGATCCGTTCCAGGAGAAGGAGCCCTGGGGGGTCATTAGGACAGATCCTGAAGGAAGATATCCCTGGGGTCTTTAAAAAGCTGCTCCCCTTGAGCGAAAATTTTGGGTCATTAGCAACTCTTGGAGCGAACAGGGTGATTCTAAGAATCATTAAAGGCACTTCAGGGGGCCGAAAGGGATCCCTAGAAGTCATTAGGAGCAGTTCCTGAGAGGCTGTGAGCAGCCTTAAGGAGTTCCCATATTGTCAAGGACTATGAGAAAGGAGATGTTAACAGACCTGTAACACCCTTATAGGTCAAATAAGGAAGAGAAATTACTGAGGCATAAAACATGAGCAAAATTCCCAATAGCGCCGGGAAGAATTGTGTTGTGTCTGAACTGCTTTCAAAACCAACCCCTCGGTACAGAGGAGGAAAGGCATAAGCCTTATGTTCTGAGGTAAACCGATGAGGAAAGAGAGAATCCATACAAGTTCACAAGATGTCTTCCGACTTTTGTGAGTTGCAGTGCCGCCGCCGCCACAAACACACTAAATAAATAGGTAATAAAAAACGTTTTTAAACAACTTCTCATCCATGCCTGGATTTTTCAAGGGGAACAAATTCAGGGGAGTTGAGATGGATGGCAAGAGTTTACCAATGTTAACTAAAAGGAGATACTTCATAGAACGCTAAATATCTGGGCACATATCTGATGAAAAGGTTGCTTTAAAAAAAAAAATGAGAGGCCAGCCTGGAAATAGCGAGTTCGAAGACAGCCAGTTACATAGTAAGACCTTTTTCTCAAAAGGGAGAGAGGCAGAGAAAGATACGTGGACATCGTGGATCAACCCTGCCAATCTCAGCCCTTAAGGGGTAGAGGCAGGAGAATCAGAAGTTCGTAGCTATGCATAGTGGTGGCACACGCCTTTAATCACAACTCTTGAGAGGCAGAGACAAGTGGATCTCTGTGAGTTTGAGACTACCCTGGTCAACATTGGGAGTTTCAGGACAGCCAGAGCTACATTTTAGACCTTGTCTCAAAACAAAACAAAAAAAGTTGTTCAAGGACATCCTTGGCTACATAGCAAATTCCAAGCCAGCAAGGACCACATAAAACCCCAACTCCAGGGCTGGAGAGATGGCTGAGAGGTTAGAGCACTGATTGCTCTTGCAGAGGTCCTGAGTTTGATTCCTAGCAACCACATGGTGGCTCACAACCATCTGTCATGGGATCCGACGCCCTCTTCTGGTGAGCCCGAAGACAGCTGCATTAAATAAATATTTTTTAAAAAACTATCTCATGCCGGGCAGTGGTGGCACACGCACGCCTTTAATCCCAGCACTTGGGAGGCAGAGACAGGTGGATTTCTGAGTTCGAGGCCAGCCTGGTCTACAGAGTGAGTTCCAGGACAGCCAGGGCTACACAGAGAAACCCTGTCTTGAAAAAACAAAAACAAACAAACAAAAAGAATAAAAACTATCTCATACATATATTTTTCAATATAATATATATTTATATTTTCAATATGTATAATTTATATTGATCATATATTATGAGATATATTGATTTTTCAAGACAAGGTTTTTCTGTGTAGCTCTGGTTGTCCTAGAACTTTCTCTGTAGACTAGGCTGACTTCTCAAACTTACAGAGACCCCAGAGAGCCCGCTTGCCTCTGCCTCCCAATTGCTACGCACTCCCAAATATTTTAATTGACAATATTCATTTTTCCTAATTCTTAAAATTACATCTCTTTAGGCTGGACATGATGGCATAATGCCTTTAATCCCAGCACTCAGGAGGTAGAGGCAGGTGAATGTCTGTGACTTCAAGGCCAGCCTGGTCTAAGGAGTAAGTTACAGGCCAGGCAGGGATAATGGTGAGACTCTCTCTCCAAAATAATTTGTTCATATATTTGTTGGAGGGTACTGCATATCCATATGAAGACCAGAGGACACCTTGCAAGATTTGGTCCTTTCACCCTATGAATCCTAGGGATTCAACCAGGATTGTCTGTCTTGGTGGCAGGCACTTTTACCCAGCTAAATCATCTTGCTAGCTCTTTTGTTGTTCTTGTTCTTGTTCTCGTTCTCGTTCTCGTTCTCGTTCTCGTTCTTGTTCTTGTTCGTTTTAAGCTAGTCTTGAATTCTTGAATTTAAGGTTCTCCTGCTCCTACTGCTTGGAGCTGGAGAGATTGTTCTGTGGTTAAAAGCACATGTTGCTCTGGCAAATGGGTCTGAGAGTTCAGTACCCAGCATCCCAGTCTGGCGGTTCACAACTGCCTGTACCCCTGCTTCAGGAGACTATGAGCTTCTGACTTCCACCAGCAACTGCACTCACATGCATATGCTTGCTCCACACACAACACAGTCCGTCCATGCAAGCACACACACATGCACGAATGTAATTTAAAATGATAAATCTTAAAGTCTTTTTTTTTTTTTTGGCTTTTTGAGACAGGGTTTCTCTGTGTAGCCCTGGCTGTCCTGGAACTCACTCTGTAGACCAGGCTGGCCTCAAACTCAAAAATCCGCCTGCCTCTGCCTCCCAAGTGCTGGGATTAAAGGCGTGCGCCACCACCACCCAGCAAATCTTAAAGTCTTAATCATCAAAATATCCTGTCTAATTTTGGACCATTTTTATCCATTCAGTAAGAACCTTTATCTCACTTCTAGAGCCTATTTACAAGTGCTCTGGCTCCCACCCCAGCTGAGGGAAGCAGTCCCTGTGTAGATTTGCCTCTTCTGGTTGTTTCCTGTAAATAAAGCTGTGCCTATGCGGTTGGTCCTTTGTGTCTGGCTTCTTTCACTGAGCATAATGTCTTTTGGAGAGAAACCCATGTTGCACTTGCATCCGTATTTCCTTCCTTTCTGCTGTTGAATAGCATCCCATTGTGGTTTTGATTGACAACTGGATTGTCTCCACTTTGGGGCTGTTATGAATAGGGCTGCTATGAACATTTATGCACAAGTCTTTGTGTGAATGTCTGTTTGCATTTCTCTTGGGTAGATAACTAGAGTGGAATAATTGCTAGGTTGTATAGGAAATTTGTGTTTATCTTTTTAAGAAACTGCAAAAACTGTTTTCAAAAATGTTCATTCTCATTAACAATATATGAGGACTCCCGTTTCTGCACACCCTTGCCAACATTTGGTATTGTCTGTCTTTCTGATTACAGCCATTCTAGTGGGCATGAAGTAGTGTCATGTTTGGTCATAATTTGCATTTTCCCGATGACTAATGAAGTTGACCATCTTTTTATGTGCTTATTAACTGTGCTGATATATTCATGGAGGCATCGTCCAAATCTGTTGTCTGATTTTGAATTGGATTGTTTGAATTGTTATTGACTTGCCAGTGTTCTTTGTATATTCTAGATTCAAATCCCTTGCCAGACATAGACTTTATAAATATTGTCTCTGATTCTGTGGCTTGTCTTTTTCATTTTCCTTCTGGTGTCTCTTGAATCATGTGAGTTTTCCATATTGATGCAGTTCCGGTTTATCAACCTTTATCTTAGCAATTGTGCTTTGACGTTAACATGGCCCTGGTTCTGATTTGCATCTAAAATACATCTAAGAAAAGAGCATTGCCCTTGCCCTCCACTGCACCCGGTCCCCGCCATCCGTAGCTTGATAGGGTAACTGTCATAGGCTCCGAAGTGTCTGCTTCTGCCCAGCCCCTTGCAGTCTTCTCGCCACAGCAGACAGTGATCCTTTCCTAGAAGCTAATTCACGTCTCTCCAAACCATCAAAAGACATGCCAGCTTGTTTTGGAGAAAAGCCGAATCCCTTTAGACATTAGGTCAACTCCCACCCCACTCTCTCTACCTCTCATCCCCATTCTCTCCTCTAGTCCCTCATTTCCTGATGTATGGCTTGTTCCCTCAGCTCCTTGATGAAATGTGGCTTCTTCAACAAAGTCCTCCAGGCCCACCACTGTATGCTTGCTCTGGTCTATGCTCTAGTCCTGACCTGTGCTGAGGCAGGAGGATCACAAATTCAAGATCACTGTCTACAGTGATTTTAGGCCAACTTGGATGACTTAGTGACTTAATGGGATCCTATGGCAAAATTAAAAAGTGATGGGGTGGGGCACTTAGCTAGTAAGAACACACACACACACAACACACACTGAAGGAACACTCATACACATAAGATAAATTTTT